GAGAGAAACGCGGTGCCTCCTTTCCCTCCAGCCAGGCACCATCGAGCAGGCCGTCAATGAGATCCGCCTGGTCGTCATGCCCAGCGAGGACGGGGAGGTGCAGAGCGTGTGGCTGCTGACAGAGTAGGTACCGGCCCCGGAGGCGGCACGGCCCAGCTCCTGGGCGTTGTTGTTTTCAGTTCTACCTCCCTGCCGGCTCCGGGCTGGGCCGGTCTGTTGGCAGCGCCCGGCGCCGCCGGTCAAACGTTTCATCTCCCGCTTGCTCTCAGCAACCCGGGCCCTGCCCCGCCGCTGCTCCCGTGGCTGCGAGGTGCTGCTGAGGCTACACAGCAGCAAGCGTGCTTGGATCTGGCTTTAAACCGTTTTAGTTTAGGACCAGCACTGAACTTTCCCTGTTTTTGAAGCCCAGGTCTGAATTAAAGGGTCGTTTGTGCTGGGGGAGACTCTGAAGGATTAAACAAGGGGAAGGCTAAAAGACTGCTGCTGTGTGAGATAGGTGATAGGCAAGACCAAAACATTCGCTGCGTGCACTGGGCTCTTGCGAGCAAGGAGAACTGGCCATGATTTCCCTGCCCCCTGGGCATTTCACAGAGCGAGACCTGTCAACACATCTGCTGTGCTCGCTAGATAAGATCATGCTCTCTCATACCCAGTTTTGTAAGTGCGGCAGTTAAAGCCCAGCCTAAAAGATTATTTACAGTGAAGGAAGGGAGCAGTTTCAGTTTTGTGGGCTTCACCTGAACAGCATCACTAAAAGTCATTAATGATAGCTATGCAACCAGCAGAGATTTCCTAGGGCATCCTATCTTTTAATGGATCAACTGCATAGTTGGGATAGAGTAAAACAAGCTTTTGAATGCTAGACATTAGTCTTCAGGTCCCCTATTAAACCTTGGAGTGAAAAGAAAACAAAGACCAACATGCATTTAAGCAGCAGTTATAATAAACGGTAGAAGTCTAAGGACAGCAAAGGATAAAAGCACAACATCTGCTCTAGGTTGCTACAGCGGACTAGGTACTAAAGAACAAAAAAAGAGGTGCTAAGGTAATTCAGTACAAAGGCAGCTTTTTATCCTGTGTTTTATAGAGACATGTTCCACAGTCCCTGGTACCTGAGTAAAGCTGACAGTAAGCTTTAAGAGACTCCTTTGACATTTATTGAAGTTGTTGATGCTCCTTCTTTTAATTTTAATTTTTAAAGCATTGGTACAAACTACTCATTCATCTTGAGCCTCTGACCAACTCTAATCTTATCTTTCTGCTGTGGAATATACTTGCTTCTTAAATTCTTGTAGTGACTGGTGTATTTGTCAGGCTATTACGTGCTTTTTCCTGAAAGTTGTCACCTAAAAACAAATGAAGTTGAATCCTTTGCTTGTTATCTGATCAGGATTGATCACTGGAATAATGAGAAGGAGCGCCTGGTTCTTATCACCGACTGGTCTCTTCTGATCTGTAAATATGACTTCATCAACCTGCAGTGTGAGCAAGTGACTAGAATATCGCTTAATGCAGTTGATACAATTTCTGTTGGAGAATTTGAGTTCCCACCTAAATCACTGAATAAGTAAGTTCTGATTTACTGGGTCTGATACTGCTTAACATTAAAGCTTTCAGTCTTCTTATCGTAAACCACATATTATCAACCTTGTTAGCTATCAGATTTCTGAAAAAGTTACAAACTTTTTTTTTTGGAATCTAAGTATTACTGAAATTGCTGTGGGAGATCAGTAAGGAAGTTGTCATTGAGATGATTATCAGATAGACTTAAATTATCTTACTCCTGAAGTACTTTTTAAAAATAAAGTTGCAGTTATTATTAGGGAAACAAGCTTTTAGCACCTAAACTCAACTGGCTTATAATAGTGCTACCTTAACTTCTGTGTGAATAAGTCCTGTTATATTGAGCACTACCGTTACCACAGCCCACACTTTATGTACCTTACACTTTATGGTACTTCAGTGGTACATCTAGATGTCTAGGTTCTAATAAACCTAAACTTTTTACAACAGTCACTGTTAAAATCTTTGCTTACGCTGAAAGCTGAACAATGAAGATGTTTATGATACTCTGATAATTGTCTTGAGACCAACTGCTGTTATCAAACACACTTAAATCCTAAAAATGCACTTTTAGTTCTCTTGGATATTGCATTTCTAATCAGTAAACTTTGTGTGAAAGTTTTAAGTGCTGTATTATCAAGTGTATTGTCTTTGAATTTTAGACGAGAAGGTATTGGTATTCGAATTCAATGGGATAAGCAAAGCCGTGCCTCCTTCATAAACAGATGGAATCCATGGTCCAAAAACGTGCCATATGCTACTTTTACAGAACATCCAATGGCAGATGCTGATGAGAAGATTGCATCACTTTGCCAAGTAAGGAAATAAACTGTTATACCAGCTATGACCAGATAAATAGAGTAGGTTGGATATAGTTGTACCCTTTGCAAAAATCAAAGGACTTGTACTCAGCTAAGATTTAGACTAGATATCAGGAGGCGCTTCTTCACTGTCAGGGTGGCTAGGATCTGGAGCCAACTTCTAAGAGATGTGGTGCTGGCTCCTACCCTGGGGGTCTTTAAGAGGAGATTAGATGAACACCTTGCTGGGGTCATTTGACCCCAGTACTCTTTCCTGCCATGGCAGGGGGTCAGACTTGATGATCTGCTCAGGTCCCTTCCAACCCTACAAACTATGAAACTAAGTAGAAGGCACAAAACTAGTTAAAGCACATAGGTCAACTTCTCTGTTCCCCATTCACTTAACATTGTGCCGCTACTTAGCTATTGCTAGCAAGTGCATTTCTGGTAACTCTCCTATTCTTAAATCTCCACCTCCTTTTCACTACAATAACACACACCTTTGAAGCCAAAAGGAGAGGAAAATATTTTTCCACACAACCACAAATGTAGTTCTTTTTTAGTTTTACCTAGAGTAGTTGTAGCCAATGGTTCCAGAACATTGTGGCAGATCAGTAGGTACAAGACAAAGAAATCCTGCCATGTGCACTATATCAGTCTCTTCCTTAGTTCAGTGGCTTTAGACAACTTTTCTTCAGCGGCTTTTGGAGTAAAGAGCTAGAGATTTTCCAAGCTGGAGCACAAAGAGCGTTCAACATTGCATAACAGCTGAAGCTCTTTAAATCTGTTGCAAAAATCTTTTGGTAGGCATTAATAAAGGTCTAGTTTGAAACAACAGCATAATCATCAAAGGTTAAAGGCAAGAATATGGATTTGATTGTGGCTTGCACCTTCCTTACAACTACAGCTCACATGCTAATGTTGGCTTGCATTTCAGTAGCAAAGTCCCTCCTGTAAAATTATGCTTTGGTAGAGAACTAATGGGAAAGTGTCAAGTGATGCAGTCATAATTAATAAGGTCTTTACATTTTTTTTTCAGTTGGAAAACTTTAAGACTCAATTAATTCAAGCAGTGAAGAAAGCCCATAAAGAGTGTCCACTGCCAGGAAGAGCTAATGGAGTACTAGTCCTGGAGCGGCCTCTTCTCATTGAAACTTATGTGGGATTGATGTCCTTCATCAACAATGAGGCCAAACTTGGCTATTCCATGACAAGAGGCAAAATTGGATTTTAAATTCACAGTATTTAATCTGTGCCAAGAAGAAGTGATTTCAAGGTGGGAGTTTACCATGTAGCAAATTACTGCAGAGCAACAAAAGAAAAAAGCATATAAACAGAAAAGGGATTGGCTAGCTGTAAAATGAACAGTTAACAGAAATCACTTTACTGTTATAAAGATTACTAGAATCTTCAGTCAAATAGACCTCAGGTGGTCACAAGCTAATTGCATTCTTGTACTTACTGGTTCATATGGAGGTTTAGTAAGCTGTGATATTTTCTCTTCCGTTTCTAGCTATACACCTTTCCCTGCTAAATGTAAAACTTGTACTCCCCATATTACTATCTAATATAGTCGCATGTTCATACCATATTATAATTGTATCATGTAAATCCATAGCTGTTAAATCATGTCACTGTGTTTTGAGACTACTAGTGAGGAGGTAGTAAATCTAGATTATATAATAGTCTCAGAAATTGGGCTAATTCAAGCATGGAGTCTTTTTAAGCCTTCGTTCTTTACCTAACCAATGAGTCAGCAAATTTGTTCAAAGCTGAACCCTTACACCTTCTCATTACCAGAATTGAACTGTTGCTATGTGAACTGAAACATATGAATTTGGAGTGATTTTACTAGCCTTTAAAAAAACAGCTATATCTGAATGTGTTATAAATTGTAGATTCCTCCTTTATGCATTTCACTGTAACCACCCACCATAAGAAATTTTGAATGCATGACACCCACAACTTTCACTCAAAAGCTTGTAGGGTCTTTGCCTTCATGTAACATTCTGCCCAGTTGAAACCACAGTTATTTTAATGTTTTAAAAATCTACATCAATTAGTTTTCTGTCTTGACCAAAAGTGTTATTAGAAACACTAGGTTAGACAATAGGGCTGCGTGAAATTTCATCTGCTGTTTTGTTTCAACTTGTTTCAAGCTCAAAACAGCGAAATTGAAACGAAACAAAGGGCTTCAAAACAACCTCCAAACGAAGTTTCAAAGCTCAAGCTGGGCTTGCCTGCAGGGAAACACAGTAAGGAGAGGGAGGGGGAAGGACTGCTCTCATTGACTGTGTAGCTGGCCAGTGACTGTGATCCTTCCCTGAGGATGCCAGTGCTCTGGGGGAGGGATGGAAAAACATAAAAAGCAGCATTGTTTGAACTGGCCTGCTTTCTGCCTTGGGGTCTGATAGTTACTGAGCTGTGTCTTCCAGCAGCTTAGGAGCATTAGACAACGAAGGCTGCTATTAGCATTGGTTTGAATTATTTCCTACATGCTAGCCTAGCCAGTGGGATTCCACAATACTGTTTGCTTTCTTTTAGACCCTTTTATTTTATTCTTATATTCATTAATTGATTCTTTTCAATTTTGTAATTATATTAGATATTACACTATAGAATTTATATAGGAAGGGAGATACATTTATATATTGGTATAACAACAAGACACTATGAAACACACCATGAAGCGTGGTGGAAAGGCAGCTGGCAAGCCTTCAGGGAGGGGCAGAAAAGGGGGTAGAGGGAGAGGTGTAAGTTCCCCCCCACCCAAACTGAGACGCAGCCTCTTTCCTACAACTAGCAGGGATGAGGATTCTAGAAGCAGCAAGGAGAGGGGAGCAGGGCCAGTGCCACTGCCTGTGCCTGAGACTGCATCCCCTCCAAGGACACCAGCCATAACACCAAGCAGCACCAGCATGACAGTCTCTTCCACCCCTATTTCACTTCCCATGCTGAGCCTTCCAGTGCCAGAGGAAGAGCTGGAGCTAGATGTGGATCTGAGTGCCCTAGCAAAGGAAATATTGGGGAAGGAGGAGGAATCAGCTGAGTTTGTGCTCCATACCCCTCAAGTTTCTCCTAAAGCCAGGTCTCCTTCCCCAGAAGGCACTTTGGAGGAGGCTGAGGTAGAGGTTGCAGAGGCAAGCAGCTCAGCTGAGTCTGCTCCTCCTGTTGCTGTACCTCTGCCTGCTGAAGAGGGGGAAAGTGCAGCATCTACACATGCACCCACACCCCAAAAGCGAGTAGGTAGTGTGGTCTGGGATCATTTTGAGCTGGCAGATGATCCCACATATGCTATCTGCCTGCACTGCCGAGCCAAAACCAGCCGGGGCAAGGGAACAAAACACATGAGCACCACAGGGATGCTGATGCATCTCCGCAGGCACCACCCCCTTGCCCTTGCTCCTCCTCAGCCTGGCACCAACGGGAGCATGCCCGAAGGGAAGTCCCCCTCTCACTCCAAAACCCCCATCCCCTCAAAGCAGAGGCAGGCCAACCTGGAACAGTGGGGGAAAGGCAGACAGAAGGGGGGGTGCATTGCAAGGGCGAGTGAGATCACCCAGAGCATTGCGGAGATGCTTGCTGTTGATGTACAGCCCTTCTCCTTAGTTGAGCGGCCAGGGTTCAAGCGGCTCATGGCACTCATAGCCCCATCCTACCAA